TATACCATAACTAGTATGCGCGAAAACTCCGAGACAAGCATTGCTACCGACTTTCCATAGCCGGACAGTTTTATCCATTGAAGCTGAGAGAAGATACTACACCAAGAAATTAAATAACAAATGCCTCAGTTCTTTAACATCCACTAAAGCAATGGTTGCAAGTTAATAAGGAAAGGTAAAAGAAATAGAAAGCATACATTATCCTTTGACCATGAAATGTCCAAGACTTCACCCGTGTGGCCGCGGAATTCATATAACGGTTTTTCCATTATCCGGAAAACTTTAGGAGGGAAGACGACGCAGGCTGAATCAGATGTTTTCCTGAAACTTTCTGTCGTCTTCTTTGGTTTCTCCTCATCCACCAAAACCGGTTTCAACTGAGAAAGATCGTTTACCTCAAAGTACATACACGAAGGGTTTATCTCGTTAAGACAATCCCTTCGTACTAAAGATCTCTTATCCTCCATGACTTTCCACACACGCACAATCCCATCTTCACCAGAGCTTGCAAGATACTTCCCATCGCCGCTAAATTTCATAGCCAAGATGGAACCATTGTGAGCTTTAATGTCTTGACTCTGATAAAGAGCTGAAAGCTCCTTTGACTGTTTCTTACAATGCTTAACCTTAACCCTTGAAATCATATCACCATAACCAGAAGAAGCTCTAGTTCTACCACTAGATTCGATCTTTGTATCCGCGGTACATCCCATAGACCGCAGCCTCGTTAACCATCCCTTCTTGAAACTCGTGATTAGACCGGCGATATTGCTCTGCTTCTCGGTTTCCTTCACTTGGCAACATCTAGAATTAGAACATGATGCCATTGAAGAGCTTTGCCTTCTCGTTACATGGCATCCACCCACATTTTTGTCTACCCTTAGAGACAATTCCTCGGAAACTTCCACGCTTGATGAACCAGATGAAGATACCTGACTAGAAGAACTGCTGAATCCATCAGATCTCTGCTCAGCTTCAACAGAATTCTCATGAGCTCCATTGCAAACGTTAGTTACAGAGACCGAATTCTTTGATTGAACACGATCTTCTTCGACTCCCATCCATTCCAAGAACTTCCTCCGCCTCTCAACCACACTTGCAGGTGAATCATTCCATATATCGAAATGGAAACCACTTGGATTTGATGCCATCATCATCTCTTCATTAGCATCGAAAAACTGTGAATCTTCCTCTTGAGACAAGTAATCCATTATTCCTTTCGAGGGTTTTCTCAATCCATGAAATGAAACCCAGCTTAAAGAACAATGCTTTTTCTTTCTCTCAAAAGAAGAGTTTCCACAACTGCCAAGTTTTGCTCCCAATCAAGCAACCTACAAGGGAAAAG